GGCTGCACCTGCTGATGGTTATGATTCTTAATGAAGCTGTAACGCTTTCAATAAATAAATTAATCAAATACTTGCCAACTGATGCTTTGCCTTAGTTGTCAGAGTTACCACAGAGGGGGAACTGTGAACAATGAACTTCTTCTTTGCTAGTAATTTGGAAATGCTGACTTACACAAATGGTATGTATTGTAGCTCAAAGGGTGCAACACACGCACCCACCTCCATGCTGACATTGTGATTTGTATTTCTGAGAGAAAATTAAGTTCTTCAGTAATAACTTCCTTTCTTTTAAATTGCTCATCTGCCCTAAATATTGTCCCAAACCTGTATATGTCTGCTCAAATGAAGCAAGCTGTCCATGAACAAACAATACCTTGCCAACCCCTGAGGAGACCTCTGAGTGCAGGTGCCAGCTCCTTCCAAAACCCCAGCTCGTTACAGCTGTTCCCACAGAACCCCAGCAGCCCCCAGGCCACTCTGCACCAGAGTCCTGAGGATGCCCCTCAAACAGATCCCCATCCAACCAGTCCTGCTCCCTCCCACTGGGACATGGTAGCAGGTGCATCTTCTACTGGGACAGAGGAACAGGTTGGCACTGGAACCCTGCACCTGAGGTCAGGAGGGTCACACCACCCAAAACAATGCAGCTACTGGTCAGTATGAGGCACATGTTAACTTTCAGTGTAACACCATTTCCATGCAGTTATAAAACTAGTTCATTGCTAATTTTGGGCACAGCACAGGAAAGGTGTTGGAAATGAAGCTGTCAGTCTGCACAGAGGAGCTGTAGGAGATGGAGAGGGAAAAGGAAAAAGCACAAAGATAGAGATGAGAAGAGGGGAACAGAAGGGGAGAACAGGGAAGAAGGGGGTAGAGTGGGTGGAAAAAAAAGAAAACAAATAATAACCCAAAATGAGATCAGTCTTAAAAGAGCTGTTCACATTTTCCTGTGCTGAAAAAGACAAGAAGCTACTGAGCAAACAGCAATCACTTATTTCATTGTCAGCTCTGGGTAAAGACAAGCCATGCTCCTATTGACTAACCCCCCTCTGGACACTGGTGACAGAACTGCTGCTGAAAGAGGAAACTGGATGCCCAAACGGGCACAGCACTTCACAGCTCACACACACCACACACTTTGACTCCCTCTATGCAGAACATTTCACATACGAAGGTACCTTTACGTGCTGCTTTATACTGCACTTAACCTGAGTGGCACTTTTCCTGCACAGCCAGATGTGAGTTCCAACCCTCTCATTCCAGCAGTCAACATCTTTGCACTTCATTTTTCACAAAGACACAATGCAAATATTTAGTGTTCCATCACTAGGTTTCCTGACTGCTGTCATGGGGAATGTTCCATAGCTGAAGAAGAGCACCAAGATCATTTAGTTACAATCATGCACATGGAAAGAGTTTCCCAGTCCCAGCAGATGGAGTAATGAAGCTGGCAAGAACAAATTCTGCATCATTAAATTATAAATTAACAAACCACCTAAGGAGTAAATATTTAGAAGAGCTCACTGAAGCCTCATGGAGAGAAGCACCATGACTAGCTATTCCAGTGATCACTTTCCAGTTAGGAAAGATCATGAACAACAGAAAAATAAGTCTCACCAATTACATGCATAAATGCAGGTTAATGCCATATGAGTAGCTACCACATGAATATTCAATGCAATTATTAAAGCATTAATGAAACAGTTGCAGACAATCTGATTTGCATTTTTTAATAACCAGCTGCAAAAATGAAAATCTGAATATTTTTTCTTTAACTTCATAATTCAGGAGTGAAAGGTGATTTGTTCAGAGCATAGAAAGTATTGCTGAAGTTGAAGGGCAGGACAACTGATGAAGGAAATGGAACCAGCATCAGAACATGAAATTCAAAGAGTAAACTGAGTGTATCAAAATTACAGGAAAAGTTCGTAAAAGCAAACGAGCAAAAAAAATAAACAGAGAGAAAATGAAATAGAGAGAAAAGGAAACAAACATTGAAAAACTAAATAAACAATGAAATTGTTACTTCAGTGTAGAGGACCTTTTTTCCATTTTCATTGCATGCTCAGATTTCATTTTGCACCTATGAAAGTACTGACAGTTGTTCATAAAAGAATAACAAATCCTTTATAATGTGTTGCAGACACACAAAGGAATTAATTCATTAATGCAAAAGAATTAAGATCATTTCCCTGCTTATATAATTTCTCATCATTTGTTTCAAAGAGGAACTTCTACCACATCTGACTTGTTGTTACCCAGGACAGCAGAGCTGCTGGAGGGCGCAGCAAGAGCTGAAGAGTAATTAACATGAAAAGGAAAAACCACAGCAGGAACTGCAGCCAAAAATCTCAGCCCTCCCCAGATGGTGGCAGATAAGAAACCTCCCCTGCCCAGGCTTCAGCCAACAAGCAGACTGAGTACAGGTGATCCAGAGGTTTGAAATTTCACACGGGTGAGAGGTGAGCCCACTCCAGACAGTCATTGCAGGCAGCTGGTGGAGAGTGATCCCCCTGCAACCTCCCATTTCCAGTGCTTAACAGTAAGAACAAAAGTTCTGGGAATTTGGATTCCCTTTACCACTGACAGACAATCCCAGGGCACTGCACTGTACCTCAGACACAGAGCAAGGCCAACAAATTCTTGGTTTTGTAGAAAATTTAGAGGCACTGGAACAGCAAGTCTGCTTAAGGCAACAGTGATCTAGACTGAAAGAGCCACAATCCAGATGTGACTGTCGTAACACACAGTTTTGTCTTTATGTACCATAGCAAATCATGTGTCCATTTTCTCAGCAGAAAGGAAGCAAGACAAATACCACTGCCATTTGGCAGTGCAGGTGCAGAGTGTTTTTGAAACTGGCTATTTCACAGTTACCCCGAGTCATGACGTGTTGCACTGCACTGTACCACTTTCTTTTGAAATTATCTATGACATGGTACCAAGAATCACCATGCTCATGTACACAGCTGACTGACTTCATAACACATGGAGCACTTCATTCATTCTACCTCTCTTAGGGGTTCTTAAATGAACAGATAACTAATTTGAAATATTAACACTTGATCATTTTTTAACCCATTCTCCCCTTACCTTCTGCTCCTGCAGAGCAGCTTGAGGGTCATAGTAATTAATCCCAAGATCTGTGACTGTTTTACTTGATTAATTTGATCAGGTATTGTCCAAAAGGAAATCTGAATCAAGAGCTTGCATCTAACCACTGAGGACACCAGGGACCACCTTGGTAACCAAAGACCATGCAGTAACCCAAAAAGTATCCTAGAAATGAAATATTTTATAAGCTCCTCACATTGACAGGCTCCAGAAGTGAAGGGAAGAAGTTTCTCATAACCGCTTTCCTTTGGCAACAAGTTGATTTTCATGCAACGCTTAAAGAAGCAAGGATTTCCTGTGCAGCTGTTTCCAGGCACTTTTCCCTTTACAAGTCCACTCATGATTAAAAAGTATCTTCACATTTTGCTAATCAAATTAAAACAACCTAATCTTATAAAGCACTGGGCTAATTTGAGACCTAAACACTGAAGAGATCCATGGATATTCATGTTCCCTGTCAGTGGCCATGATCTCCATGGCATTTGTAAAGCTTTACTTCTCACTAACTTAGACAACTTCTCCTCTTGTGAAATGTACTAAAACACTGGATAAAAGGCCAATCTTGCAAAATATTTCAAGAACTATACATTAAAGACAAGGCCACTAGCCAGAAATCTTAAGTCTTACTGCTTTTAGAAAAGGAATTCATTCAAGACTGGTGGTCTACAAACCTAGCCATCTGCTTATATGCTTCCTCAGCCACTGCAAAGATATGTGGATCCATATCCCCCATGTTCTGGCCACTGTAGGCGTTGATGATGTCTTCGCCATAGATGGGCAGCTGTTCATAAGGGTTTATGGCCACTAAGACAATACCTACAAAGGAAATGAAACAAAAGGAATTATTAATAGTTGTTTAAAAATAAAAGAAACAAAAAAATATGGCTCTAACACCAACTACTGTTCTAAACTTTCTAAAAATAGCAACTGGAAAAGAAGAAGGATCTTATATTACTGACTTCAACAGATACTTATTCTGGCCAAAGCTTTGTATTCAAAAGGTATTACCAGAGTTTACTTCTACCCTGCTTTAGGAAACACATCCAGGCCAATTTTTCATTTTTCTGTCGGCCTTCTCTACAGCAACCATGCATGAAACAACCAGATTCAGAGCATGCTGACTTGAGCTGAGCCTGCTCAGTATAGTAAACCAAAGAATGTGCATTGTACTTCCCTGCATTTTCCTGTCATTTACAGATGATTATGTGAGTTGTGAATTAGAACCACCACACAGTAGTAGTTATGACTGTCAGTCTGGATATGTGAAGTGTGTTAACCCTTTACCCTTATGCTGTGCCCAGAAAAAACATCTTCAGTTTTTGTAACAAGGGACTAAGTAGAGTCAGGGTGTAATTTGGATTCCAGGGCATCTCTACCAGTTAAGCAGAACAACCTCCTGCTCAAAGGGATTAGAAAAACAAACCAAACAAACAAAAACCAACCCCAAAATAAAATGTAGACCTATTTCATAAAGGCTGGTGAACAGCAATACACAGTCATATCAGGAAATTAATTACAACTTCAGAAGGCCCCACAATACCCTCATCTTATACATCTATGTGTATAACTACTTAACACTTCCCATTTTCTAGTTTTCCCATCCCAGTTAAACAGCTGCCTTTTTAATATCACTCACTACTACAACATTTCTGAACTCATGATGCCATCCTTTTGCTCTCCCCACACAGAAAAAACTCAGTCTTGCTCCATACATCCTTCCTAACCAAAAAGTGAGGTCTCAAATGCTTTTGGTACAATTTTCTTTTTCATAAGAAAGAAGGACTGCTCTGGCCACAGGGATGATTTCACAAATATGACTTTTACCTTTCTCTCCTGCAGCATTTACAAGGGATAGGTAACCCTAATTTGCTCCATGCAGGGGTGAAAACACTGATCACTGCCACATGAGATGCAGCTGTGTCAGGCAAACTGTGCTCTCTTGACATGGTAATTCCTCCTCGCCTTGACAATGTGATAAGGGGGGAAAAAAAACCCCTCTAATTTTAACTGTGGCCATTTTAAAAATAGAATTTCTCCTTACATACATTTTTTATGCCTAAAAGTGACAATGCAGGCACAGATGGCTGCACTCTGACTGCAGCAAGTATGTTACACATGCTCCTTGAATAACCATCCCTGAAGAACCTGCACCAGAAGCATCACCACAGCACTCAACTCGTTTCTAAATTTACTCAAAAATTCACACGCACACACACACAACCTCAATGCAGATTCCCATTCCCCTCCTCCATGCAGATCACACAGTGTTGTGATGTCTATCTAAGAAAATGTCTATGGAAAAGCTGGGAGAAGTGAAAGCATCTATAGTCTGGCACTGCTGCTGGGAGCACCACTCCATTTTTAAATCCCATCATGCATTTGGACACCAAGCACAAAACAACAGTACAGTATCTTTCAGGAAGATATCTGAGAGTTCTCAAGCTATTTCCTCAAATATACAGCAAGTTTTATGGCTCGACACACCCATGTAAGTAGAGTCAGTGTTTTTCCATCAGCCAGGACTTCCCTGAGATTACTCAGGAGCTTGAGTGAAAAGTCTCTCTAAAAGTTTATGCCAAGTTCCAACACTGTAGTGATGAGCCAAAAATAAGAGGTGGGTTAGGGAGGGGAAGGAACCTCAGTGCTAGCAGACTAAAGGAATTTTTTCAGTGTGGGTTTTTAACATCTGCCCTTCGTAACCATGAATAAGTAGTAAAAAGTTCAGTAAGGCCACACTGCTGAGCCAAGCCTGCCAGGCTTGCAAGTCTAATCAGAGACATTAGAAATAAAGCCCTATGAGGCTTCAGACAATTCCTTCCTGCATTTGGCCACATTGGCAAAAATAAACCCTTCTATTCAAAACAAGCAGCCCCATGACAAGTCTCCAGCATAATCTTCAGTATGAAGCTGTAAAATCAACAAGCAGCTACCATTTCCTTGGTCCGATATCCAAAACCAGTGAGATAGGAATTACATGCTCTCCAAGGAACTTTTAAAACAGCCTGTCTCACAGGACTATAATCCAGATTAATTTATATATAAATTTATCTTTATCTCCCCTAAATCATGTTGCTGATTTAAGAAATCTCATGGGCCTCCTCAAATCAGATTTACATGTGTTTTCATTCCTACAATTATAACTAATTGAACTCTGGCTACTCTTTTTGCCATTCATGGCAAGTAAGTGGACCTACTGCTTTTATCTTGGATGTATTCGACCATCTGTGGACAAGCTGGATATTAATATAAATACTTTATTATTTTAAATAAAAACTGCACTATTTTATACATCTGACCTAATCTGCACTATTCACTGAGTTTTCAACATAGCAGTTTTTCCATGAAAGCATTCAAATCTTCCTTTGTAACTTTTCAACTTCCTTCATTCATTCTCCATTTCATATTCCCAACAGTAAAGCAAAATGAAAAATTCCCTTTGAATTGCTGAGGAAAGGCTGACTTGAAATTAAAAATTCAGGAGGTTTTCTGTTTAAAAGTCTGGATTGCTTCAAAGGGAAATTTGGAAGAATTTAATATCCATTTGACATACTACACTAAGGACAACATGGCTGAATTAATTTCTAGTGCCATGGACATCCATCCACCCAGTTCTAGTTCTGCTGGTAGAGAACAATGTTACCGTCATTCTCTTGGTGGATTAATGTGTTTTTTATCTCCTTCTGGCTCAATCAGCTGGTTTAGCTCAAACCACCCTCACGGGCTATTTAAACCAACCTGGCTCACATGTGAATCAGGTTAAGGAAGCAAATAAAAGCTCCTCCTGCAGGTAGAGCCCTAAGGCAATAATCTTTGCAGAGAAAGTAACTGGTGCAGAGATCAGGAAGGGACAGAGCGGCTTGAAGGGTGAATGTCCGTGGCCGAAGTACCAGGTTTGTAAAGGCCGACACACCGACTTCATTTTCCTTTGCTTATAACATAATGTCCCTGTGGCTACATCCCAAGCTACCAAACCCCCAGCACACTGCATCCAACGTCCTTCACCTGCACCATGACCACCAGGAACCCCCAGGCTACCGGATCTACGTGTTTCTATTGAGCTCACACTTAGTTCCCAGAATCATCGCTTGTTGGGAGGCAGAACAGCCGACCAAGCTCCTCCATCCCCGGCCCTCTGGCAGGCCCATTCCACCAACAGCTAAAGGTTTTCCAGCCCTAGGAGAAACTATAGAATCAGCCAAACCAGCAACTGAAGCTGCACCAGGGAAAAGACAAAAACAACATGTTTTCCCAAGGCAGCAAAACAAACCCAGCATGGAGCACATTCCTTTGGAAAGCCTCTTAGATCAAGCAGCTGCAACACACACCGGGCTGGCTGCCTTACAGGAGGGGTACAGGGCTATCAGGAGGCACAGGACCACAATACCAGACTGAAAAGTCTTCATAAGCACAGGCCATGAGACTCCAGTGGCACAAAAGTCCTTTGCCAAAACATTCCCCCGTCAAGAGTTTTGCTCAGGAGCACGAGGGACAGAAACACAATGTCTAAACTGGGGGAGCTGCAGTGGTTTCCAAGTGCTGGGACCAGAACATGCACCCTCAGCAGGGGTTGCCCACAGAGGCTGTGGTACCTCCCTCACTGGAGATACTCAGATACTTTGACTGGTCCAAGCCCTGAGCAACCTAATCTAGTCAGACCTGTTCTAAGTAGGAAGCTCCACTGAAGATTTCCAGAGGTCCCTTCCAACCTAAATTATTCTGTGCCTCTAGCCAAGCTCTGACTGCATGATGGGATGAGACGTGGGTATGAATCATCTCCCACCCCTACAGGAATGCAAAACTGGCTGCAAGCTGGGGGAGGCAAAGTCTGATTCAGCCCCCCATGGCCTGGGCACTGCTGAGAGGACTGGGAGCAGATGCACACTGCTGGGCATCAGCAGATGAGGAACAGCCAGAGTGAGCAAAATGTGGCAGGACACTAATGCCTGCAGTCTGCCCAGCACACCACACTTAACAGGCTGGGTGCCTTAACTCTCCATACCCATCACCATGGGTGGAGTTGTAACAGTGACCAGAAGAGGGAAAATCTGACCCTTGGTGTATTCCATAGGCAGACCAGGACAGGACAAGGCCTTCAGCTGCAAAACCCACATTTCTTCTTCAGACACCTGCAGTCATGATCAGCTGCTATCTGTCAAGGGCCACCCTGCAACATGACTTCCCTACA